ATTTCGACTTTAAATAACACCTCTTGGGTCGCATTAAGCTTCCACGTTGACTGAAAGACGTAATATTTAATGTTGTGTTGAGAATGACAACGCGGTTGACAATACCCCTGGGACCACGAATTATTGGCAGTTTTTGTCTTGAATGACAAATTTTTTGTAAGTTCTTTGTAGGTTTGCATGGCGATAAATTATATAATACTATTGTTTGTGGAAACACCAAATTTCATTGTTTTAAAGCCGTCGTTGAGCCGGCCGCGTCGTAGATCGTAACCTCCCTATTGATCGAAGCGAAAGGTAATTAACTTCGTGTGCAGTGCAATCATGAGAGATAATTGGGCAGTGCAATCATCACTGTCACTATCCCCCGTCACTATATCGCCTTAGATTTTACTCGTAAGTACTAAGTCTAAGAGATTCGTTTGTCTGGATACGCTATCTTCTTGACACCTTATAAGTCTGGTAGCCATTGGCAAAATGGCAAAAGGATTTTAGAAACGTCACGTGGTAAAACAAACATCTATACTACGAGATTATATATAATTTTTTTTATAATTTTTTTAATTCGAGTGAGATGCCCCAAGTCCTATATTTATACCCATACACCTTACATTGGCAATATACATGCGATTAGACCTCGATAACAGCAAGCCTGGAAATAAGCGGCCGGCACACACATTGTCCGCACAAAAAGGGCAAATGTCATGTCTGATGAAATGCTTTCCTTGCTGGACATTTGCCTAGTACAGTGATACTGCTATATAATTATATTGATAAAAAGTGAAACATACTTTGAATATATACTGTATGTTCCTTTACAAAGTAAGCAATAGTGCACGATGAGTTTTTTGAAGAACCGGCCAAGGAAATTTTGTGTGAAATCTTCAGGTCACAACACAGTTCACCCTAGTCTCTTTTTTTGCGTTTGTTGCCCAGCCACATGTGAATTATGGCTTCTTATATTATCATAACATTATTACAACATTTGTGATGTCCGCCACTAATGGAGAAGTGTCAGTATAACCACCCAACTCGTACCTGACAAAGTATCCCAGCCGCACCCACGTAAAAAGATATTTTCAGACTTGGACATCTGGCCTCTGCAGCTCAGTTGGTTAGAGTCCTGGGCCCGGTTGTTCAAAAGCCGATTAGCTTAACCCTATAGGTTAACTTAAAATTCAAAGGAAACTTCCTCACAGCTTGTTTATAAATTTGGAAATATTTCTTCACAAACCATGTCTGGATCAATAGAAGTTTTCTTTTCTGACATTTTGAAGTAAATGGACATGCAGAAATATGCAAACTAAAACAGTGGGTTAAAAGTTAAACCTGGATTAGCGCTAATCCACCTTTGAACAACCGGCCCCAGCACCGAAATCGCAGGGCGGCAGGTTCGATTCCTGCCAGGGGACTATTGTTGCATTTTTCGCAACTTCTCCTTCTCGAGCTAATAAATGTATAAAATTTACACTTGAAATGTTCATTAACAAAACCCTTCAACAATGTGTATGGAATGGCGCAAGAAGATGGCGAGTATTTGCAAATAACGAATCACGTTTTGTCGTGCTCATAGTCATATATAAAGCTCTCCAATGCGTAAATGTCACCGTTGTTTTCCATCGAGTTATCTGCGGAGGAGCTGCATACTTAGAAACCTGCTTAGTTATAGTTGATGAAAGTAAGAATGTACCATTGGGTAGTGGGAAGGCCATAACAGGAAATCCCTTGAAAAAATTATCGAACACTTCCTCGAATTCCGACATGAAGTCCATTGGAAAGATAGTGCCACGTCTGCCACAATATTCCGATCCTTTTCTCTGACTCTCTCCCAAAGAATCATTATAGAGATCATTCAGAATATCCCTAATGAAAAATAAATTTATTTTAAATTTATTACAGTTGGAGGATGGTCCCCAAATAGTACCATATATATATATATATATATATATATATATATATATATATATATATATATATATATATATATATATATATATATATATATATATATATATATATATATATATATACTTATATATATATATATATATATATA